GCGAGAAGGGCGGGGAGTGGCGGAAGGCCCTGCACCTGCTGCTCAAGATGATCAACTCGGGGATCGAGCCGGACACCATCGCCTACAACGCTTCTATCAGCGCCAGGTCAGCGCCAAAGTTTCTTGAAAATTGAAGTAGGGTACGATACACGAGTACGGACAGAAGAAGGTACTGCGTAGAAAGATCGGAACGGTTTTTAATGCGAAGAACGTACAACGATGTTGTTGTTGTCCTGTCATTTTAGCGTTTGGTCATGCATGCCCAACGATGCTGTTGTTGTTCTGTCATCTGCGTGTGGCTATGCATGCTCGTCGATGTTGTTTTTGTTTTGTCATTTGCGTTTGGCCGTGCACGCTCGAACCTGCGTCGCCGCTTGCTCTGATCTACATGCACGCGCACGAGTCCGGTATTTTGCCCTGGTACGGAGTTTTTTGGGGCGAAATTTGTCCCCAATTACATTTTTAAGCTGCCTCTTTCTTTCCAATAGAGTGTGAGCACGACGGGCGAGCTCGTGTGCCCTCACGCCTTGCGAGTGGGACTGTGTATTTCAAGGAACCTTGGAAATCATGATGGGACGAGAGGCTGCCATGATTCCCCGTCATCTTTGTACCTTCTTGTGCTGCGGAACCCAACTGAACCCCCCGCAAGCCACTATCTTTCTTTGACCCATACCATAATAGCGCGATCAACCTGCCATGTTCTAGTTTACGGAAAGTTTGGGATACTCTTTACCCCGTTTTCTTTCATCCTTTCGTGGAAATTCCCGCAGCTTTATTGTCGGCAGCAAGTGTGTTTTCCTGGGTGGGTGGTCTGTGCGTTGGAAAGACTACGGAGAGAGGAACTATTCTGCCTACATTTACCCCTTTTTTTTTACATTTGTCCAAATACCGCGCGCCCTTGGAAAAAACAAAAAAAAGTGCCAACTGCGGCGAGTGGCAGATGGCGCTGAAGCTGTTCGACAGTCTCTTCAAGGCCGGCCTCATCCCAGATGCTAGGACGTACAGTGCGGTCATGATCGCGTGCTTCAAGGGGCACCAGGTCAGTGTCGATACCGTTTGCTTTGTATTTTTTTTTCGGTACAGGTATGTAGGTCGACGTGCCAGCGAGTGACAGCGTCTTGACTGCGTGCCGTTGTTTCGAATGTGAATCATGGGCTGTTGGTTGGTATATTTGCCCTGCTTCCGGCACCAATTTTCTGCTTTTCGTGACACTTTTCTTTCTTTTTTTTTTTTGTGCCGAATTTTCGTAACGGCCGCCTACCCTATTCTATCGACGCCCCCCTAAACCTGCGCACTAAACAATGAAAAACAACGTCAACGACGTGAACAGTGGCAGAAGGCGATGGAGCTGTTCCTGCGGATGGTGAGCGAGGGCAAGCTGCCCAACAAGCAGACGATCAACATCCTCATGGAGCTCCTGGACGAGGCGGGGAAATTCTCCAAGGTTTGTGTATTTGTTTTATCAGTAGCATCGCCTGCGCTAACTAACAGGCTGACCAATGATGAAAATACGTCAGTCTCCGTGCGGTTGAAAACACATATTGTATCTAAATCTAAAGTTGTGTGTGAAGTGTCTGTGTGTGCTGCATGTGCGACCGCCACACATGCGGCAGACAACGACACAGCAGTTGCTGTTCTACTTTCTTTCTGCCTAACCTACAGTGTCTACGAAAATGCGTCCGGTTGGTTTGACGTGTCTGCGGTTAGCGGAAGGATGACCGGTGTTGTGTACGGTGCGGGTTTTCCGTGCCTTGACTGGTCTCGTGATGCGTCTCTCACCCGCCTTGGCAAACCAAAACCCTGGAGATGAATGGAAAAATCCCCGTCGTACCGTCCGGCAAGTTGATGAGGCTCAAGCCTCTGCCTTCACCCCCCTCCCGTACACTCGTCCGGTAACTGACCACACTGCTATAACATGCGGTGGATGCTTTCGGAAGCGTGAGGACCCAGCGTTCGACGCTCTCCTCGCTCATGTCGCCTAAAATCCCCTCCCCCCCCCCCCCGGGGGGCCTGGCCCCCTCCGTCCTCGTTTCGTTTAAATTGGAGGGTGTGTAAATTTAAGAATTCATATTTGCGAGGGAACAGGGGGAAAAATGGGAACCCGCGGAAAAAGATGCGGTGAAACTGGACGGGTAATTTCAAGGCGTCGCGAAAGGCGGGTATCCGCTCGGGACTGTCGAGAGTCCTGCAGAGATAACTGGTGGCAGGTAAGGGTACCATGTCGCGGGAACGGGTTGGTTTGAAGCGGCACTTGAGTCAGGTCAGCACAAAGAGAGTCATGGGTCGTAACTACCCTGGTTTATGCGGCAGACGAGTTGGGGGCAGGGGTTGGGTTGAAGCGGAACTTGAGTCAGGTCGGCAAAAGAGGTTGGAAGTCGCAGCTACTGTTAGATGCGGCGTGTGCAGAGGAATGCTGGTGAGTGATTGATGGTCATTGTCAGCAACGTAACGCATTGCCTTCGAAATATGCTGTTGTTTCCAGTAAATCGTGGCGGGTGCACGTTTGCGTAGAATACGTAGATTTCGTTTCTTCGGCGGTGAATCTAGGAGGGGTTCCACATCGCTGTGTGCACACGGCACGCGCTTTCATCCTTTTCATCCTGGGGTGAGATATTCCCGCCTTGCCGAATTCGATTTTTTGAGAGTGTGAGAGTGTTAACAAAACGAGGCGTCACAGCCGTCAGACTCAACAAGGAATAAGTCCCCACCTCCGCCCCATCACCCCTGCCCCCCGTCGCCGCTTTGTGCTTGTGCGGCAAACTACAAAATGCACAATATAGAGAAAGACCCTTCGGTGGTAGAGCAGTTCACGATTATCACCGGACGAGGGAGACACAGCCGGCAAGCCTTCGAACCGGTGCTGAGGCCAGTGGCGCAAGACATGCTCCTGGAGGAGTTCGAACCTCCCTTGCCGACGCACTTCGACCCCACCAACGACGGCCGCTTGCAGGTACTGTACTAGTAGGAAGAAAAATAGGGAATCCTTGTCTTGACAGCATGGTTTATCCGTTTCCGCTCGTTCGTTTTTATTGCTGTTTTGTTTTTGTTGCTGGTTTTGTTGCTAGGTTTTTTGTGTGACCTTTTCTGTTTGTTTCTTGACCAGACCAGGCTTGCACGGTGGACAGCACCAGAGAGGTACCAGGTGACGTTAGAAAAGGAAAGTTGAGTATTCCCGCTTCGACTTGTCGAAACGCTCCCTCACGAGTGCGCACGTCGAACACGCCGGCACACGCACAAACTTATCTGTAGTTTCGGCCCCGTGATGATAAGACTGCATTTTATCCATTGGTCAGCCAGTTCACTCGATCGATGCTCGTGTTAGAAAATTCATACGCACTATTTCAGCCACACGCAGGCTGACGCGTTTTCATTGGTCAGCCGATAAAGACGCAGATAGGACTCCTGCGTTTCCCCTGTCGGCAGAAACCTTCGACTAGAAAACGTGTTCGCGTTTTTAATCCCGCTACAGCAGTACGCCTTTTCGTTGGTCAGCCGGTTAGCTCCTTCGACCCTAGTCACAGAGACGCACACACTCTCAACATCGCGTTTGCAGGTGCGAAAGGAGGACATTCTTGCTTGGTGCTCGCGGGAGTCCGAAAAGGGCAGACGTGCACCCGCACCGGCCGATGACGTGGGGTCTCTCAAGCTCCGCGGCGTGGCAGACCTAAAGCTGGCGTACGACAGGGCCGTCTACGAAGCAGCAGCAGCGACGACCCCAGGGGATGGAGTGGAGGGTAAACAGGCGGGGTGGTCTGGGGTTGGGTGGAGCCGAAACGCCAACGAGAGCGAGATGGTGTGATTGTTCGGTACGGTAGATTGAGGTATCTAGCTAGTGAGTGAAGAGAGGAAAGTAGATTCGTGTTGTTGTTTTTTTCTTCTTTTTTGGTATCGAATTTTGGGTTTTGCCCTTTCTTCTCCTTTGAAATCTGGGAGTGTTGTTGAAGAGTAGAATCGAGGGCGTCAGGAGAATGAGGGAAAGGCCGGTTCGGGTCGACCTCCAACAGAGAGAGATGGCGTGATGGGCCGTTGGAGTTGGAACAAAAATGTTGGCTTGTTCTCGGTGAGGTTGGGTAGACAGAGAGATAATGAGAGGTGGCGTGACCATAGTACCGGGTGGAGGGCGAACGCTACTTCTCTTCGCGTACGTATTACGTCGTCTGTGACCATCTTGACCAAGCTATGTGCCATCTATAGACTAAGCCAATGTGTCACCGATTGGAGGACCAGGGCGCACAACAATGGAGAATCTCGGCCGTAGAGTCCAGAACGCTTGTTTTTCCCACCGTAGTGGGGAGTACGCTGCCGTTGATTTCGTCTGGTCTCGCTCTCTTCTGTCTGCAGGCAATAGCTCGAGTGTCTCTGCGTAAGTGTCTTCGGTATTGCGGGCCTATTCATGGCCGGGATCACAAAAGAAAAAAAGAACTTTTCGTCGTAATAACCCATGTTTGCGAGGCAGGATTTTTCTGAAGCGTTGCTTTGGCGGACTGCGTCTTGCGGTCTACCTGACAATTTTGGCGACGTTCCAAGTGTCCTGAAGAGGTCGTGTCAACATTCTAACTTTTGATCACACTCGGTTTGGTTCGGTCTCTTGTCTACAACTTCACTATACACCTCACGTCAAATGTTGTTGAAGAGCCATGCTCTCGAGAATCGGGTGGGTGTGCTGTGAATTTCTCGCCGAGAGACTCGACAACGCAGGGCACATTCCAGAATACGGCTGTATTGCCATGTCCGCGACCAGCTCTCGGAAGTGTACGGGGCTTCGCGGCCGATCGGTGTCCGGCAGAAGAAACAACACGCGGACGTATGCGTATCATACCGGAGAAGCTCTTGTTTCCCTTGTCAGTGTGTTTGTGTTCAGCCTCCGCCGAGATGGACACGGTCCCATGATCCGTCAATCACCACGTGGGACAAGCAGCCGGGTTCCGTGTACCTTCACGCCGACGGCGGTAAATGTGCTGGAAATGACCAGCCCGACCGAGTGCCCGATGGGCGGCCGGCAGAAGAAGCAACACACGAACATGCTTACGCAACAGCTGGGTAGTGAGAGGTTTACACGACGAGCGATTTTTCCTTGGCATTTGTGGTGTCCAGTCTGTGCAAAACACGCGAGAGAGAGGGCGCGCCCATCACTAGATTCTTTGAGCAGATTGGGTGGTTGGGCGCGAGCGTTGGTGCTCCTTTTGCAGCTCCAACAACGGGGCGGGTTTGGTTCGGTGTGTTGACCAAGCAAAGCCTCGTTGTGCTCCATGGGATCAATCGCAAGGGGGTTAGATGAGTTGCCGCTCGAATTGGGAAATTCACGTGTACATTGCCTCTTCGTCACCAAACCCCCTCCCCGCCCCTCCACTCCATCGAGAAAAAACAAACTTTACACATGCTGCCTCCCCCCCTAAGCAGAGTTACCTACTCCATTGCATATTCCTGTCTGCACAACCTACAACAAAAGAGATATCTGCTTGAACGAAAATCACAAATTGGCAGACGCCATCACGAGCACACTTACACTTTCGTGACCGACGATAAGTAAACCTTAACAACAATAAAAAGGCGAACATCCCGAAAGAAAACGGTCGGTGTTACCAACAGGGGCACTTTTTACACTATTCACTGTAGCACACGTTGCCGGAAGAGCAATCCCATACCTGCAGGCACACCCACAATCCGCACACTGAAAGTGATACGCGCGCCGACGTCCCGTGAGTTTTCGACTCATGCCGTAACACTACAAGGAAAATTCATCGTCCGAAGAACACGCTTCTAGAACGATACCGTCCGTTCCTGTCCCTCCGCTTACTCCCCCGCCGCTCGAGGAGGTCGGTCTCGGCGGCGAAACGGCGGTTCGAGGCCGAGAGCGCGGCGGCACAGGGGGCGACGGGCTATCCAGGCTGAGGTCCACGACACCGCCGACGCCGCCGCCGCCCCCGTCGTGAACCGAACGTGAAGCGGCAGAGGGCAAGGAACCAAACGACGATCCAGACCCCTTCCCACCGCCGCTACTGCTGGCGCTCCCGGAGCCATTCGCCTGCCGCAGATCACCGTCGCCGCCTCTCCCACCGCCACCTTTTCGATCGTCGTCCTCGTCGTCTAATACGAAAGAGAGCGACCGCGCCTTCTTGTTTCTTGTCCCTTCTACACCGCCCCACTCACTCCCACCACCACCGCTGATGCCCTGCGCGCAAGACTGGAGGGGAGAGGAAGAACCGTCTCCGCCACGACTACCCTCGTCCGCCGGCCGAGGGCGCTTGCTGCGCCTGCTCGAGTTCCGGCCTACGCTACCGCTCTGCCCCCCGGCCCTCCTTCCCAACGTCGTCGGCAACGGAGAGTCCTCCGCCCCGCCCCCCCCGTGAAGAACTGATCTCGACGAGGCCGCCGCCGCTCCTGGTTCTGACGGGGACAGAGCTATCGGCGATGTTCTGCTGACGCTGGAAGCAGCAGCAGCAGCAGCAGCTGCGGAGGAGACGCCTCCACCTGCGATGGATGATGATGAGGTTCCCGCCGCCACCGCTGGCGCCGCCTTCCTCTTGCTACCTGAGGTCGAGCCACTACCGCTACCGGCAGAAGAGCCGGAACCGGAACCACCGCCTCCATCGATGGGGCGAACGACTACCTCGACGACGCTGCAGCCGTCGGAAGAGTCGGAGGCTGAACCGGGGTCGGGGGACCCGTCGATGTCGATGGCACCCTCCCGCGTCGACGCGGCCTTCGGGGCGTGGCTTTCTGCAGTTTCTTCTCGACCCCGCGCACCGCCGACAGCGGGGCAATTACCCTCCGCCTCGCCGCCGCCACTGGCGCCGTCTTCGCCACTCCTCGCCACCCCGAAAACCCCGTCAAGCGTGCGCTGGCGCAATCCGTCGCCGGCAGGCCGTGAGGCAAGGGGGGGTCGACCGCGCCCCCCCGCCGCCGCGGACGTCGGGGGCCGACCCCGCCTGCCTCCGCGCGCGGCTTTGGCGGCAGCGGCGGCTTTGCCTGCGGCAGCGGCGGCGGCCGCGCTCTTCGGGGTGAGGGGCACCTGGCCCTTGCTGAAGCGGATCAGGTTCTGCCAGGTGAAGAAGGATTCGAAGTCGAGAGATCTGGCTTCGAATTGTCTCTGGAGGGACTGCGTCGCGTCCGCGAGGTAGGCGCTGAAGGCGGCGAAGTCGTTGTGGCGCACCACCTGCGCAGAACAAACCAGTCGTGACCACCGTGGCAACGAAAAAGCCCATGGGACGGGGTTAACAACACGGCTACACGGAGAAGGAGCCCATGCGCGTTGAAGTGCAAATCCGTCCAAGCCAATTGTCAAGAGTCAACCATCACTCCAATATCGCTCTTTCGTTTCGAGAGCGGCGACCACACTATTGATCACCCGAAACACGTCTCATCACAACAACAACGAAGAATTGCGCACCTTGAACCCCTGCGTTTCCGCCTGACGCAGCGCCTCGTCGAGGTCCTCTGGAGTCAAGCCTCGACGGTAGATCTCGTCCACGAAGCGCCCGTCTGCCGTGTCTCCCTCCACGTGCACTTCAACCTCGGCCGCGACTCCGTCGCTCTTGGCGCGAAGCATGGCCTTCTTCTGACGGACCAGGCGCCTGCAGGTGTTACCCGACAAGAGAGGATACGATTTTCGGAACGAGGGAGTTCAGCGTGTGCAGGTTGCACAAGATATCACACCCCCCGGGCCTCTTTTCAAGCCCGATTACTCTGCAGCACTGTGCTGCAAATGGTGTCGTTGAGAGAGAAAGAGAGCTTTCCAAAACGCATGATTTTGATGTTGTCATCCTCGTCGTTGTGGGTGAATCGACCTTTGAAAATCGGTCCAGGGTGTGTGGTATCAAACGTCACCTACCTAGGTACATTCCCAGGGCTGGGTGTGGGGTCAGCATGATAACTGAGAACTGGGTGCTCGCCCAGATTATGGTCGTGCTCTCTTACACACATGATAAAAGTCAGACAACGAGCCCCCGGTCGTGCCCATCTCTCGGCAATCTCGAAAGGGCGCCGGTCCTTCACCCAACCAAGATGCGCCGCACACCCATCACGGTGGGCTCGTCGAAACCACCAGCCTTCTCCGTCCCCTTACCCTAGACTCGCGGAAGCTACCCAACGCGCGTCTCCCCCCGATTGATTCCGCTCCCGCGCTAGAGACGTTCAGCCAGTCAGCCTCACACACCACCGTAAAACCTTGTTTTCCCTTCTCTCCCCCCGAACGATTCCGCTCCCACACCAGAGACCCCAAACCAGCCAACCTCACGCCATCGCCATATCTGACGTACAACAGTTCGTATATCCGAGACCGAGAAACGCACCCGTCCTTCATGGACTCGGCAAGATCATCGACGCGCTTCCTCTCCAGGAGACGCGGCACTACGAATTCCCTTTCGTACCCTACCTGTGACCAAAAAAGAAAAAAGGAAAGCGACAAGCGCGACACAGGAATAAGAACCATGTCGGAACTGTAGAGGCGGCGGGAAGTAAAGGTAGCGGCACCCTTCCGCTGTTGATGAGAAGGTGTGTGTGTTCGTCCCATTTATTCTATCGCTATTAGTCTATGCAACTCTCGTTGTATGTGTTTGACGTATGTATCAGCTGTGGTCACACAGAGGCTCTTGGTTCATGTACGGTAAAAACGAACGTCCACGTTGTCCCCGCTGAGAAATGGTGCGCCCGCTGGTGAGTCAGTCCTACAGGACAACACAACAACGGCCACAGAAAAGAGGAAATTGTGGTACGATTCTTCGCGCACAATGACGCCGACAGTTTACGACGCCCGTCGAAACCGTAGCCCCCGCTGTTTAGGCGCTACTGCGAGCAAGAGAAAGGGACTGCGGTGGGGAACGCTGCAACTCCGCGAGGCACCGCGACCGCACACGAAGCAATCAAAACGTACCTCCCCCGCTGCGGGAGGTTTCCCCGCGTCTGGCTGCACCACCCAGCCGTAGTCCCCGATCTTCCACTCTCGAACCTCGTAAGGCACGCCGCGGCTGTTGAGATAGTTGGTCAGGTGGGAAATCTTCGCGTGACGTAGGGGGTTGGAGGGGAGCAGGACGAGAGGAGTGACAGCAGGGCGTGGGCCGGCGGCGAAGGAACAAGGTTTAAAGACGCAAACGATAAAGGTTGTTGGAACAGCGTACCGGTCCTGAGACCGGTGCTCGTTTTGCCGGGGGGGGGGGGGGAGGGGGGGGGGGCGTACTCTTATGTTTTGCATGCCTTAGCGGTTAGACCATTGACCACGCGTCCTCGAGAGGACGGAGCATTGTTCCCACAGGATCGATCCCCGATGGCCAATCGTTCCTTCCTACTTTGCCAAAGCTGGGGAAGGGGAAACAACAGGAGGGTAAGTCCCCCTCACAGCGTGCATGACTACATACCCCCTTCCTCGGAAAAAATGAAAAAAAAAAAATGGGGTTGTTGGCTGCGGTACTGAGATTGTTGCGGGGGTCTTCTGGCTGCTCGGGAAAGGGAATACACCCCGCTTTCAAGAACACGTTCGACATGCGTCGAAATGCGCGATGCGTTGTTTACTGGCCGGTAACATCGAGAGCAGCCATACCACAAGAGATCGTCAAAAGCACTCAGAACGACACATCAGGGCACGTACCATACCACAGCATCGGGAAGCAGAAGGGAATGCACGGCTTGAGAGTATAGCTCAGCAAATCTTACGTTTCACGAAGCACCAAACGAAAAACCATTACTACGACATCCCCAATAGTGCGGGCACCTTTTCTCTCTCTCTCGGCGGCTCAACCGACCGCGCATCACCTGGCTGTTGCTCGTCACCCCCCGCCTCTCCCTGTTGTCGATGAGCAGCCTCACCCCGGGCTTGGCGGCTCCGTTGGCTCTCGTCGGCGCCAGCGGGGAGTGCCCGTTGTGGGTCGAAGCGGCCGTCCCGCCCCCGCCCCCGCCGTCCCTCTCCGAGCAGCTCGCGTACCTATCATTGTCATTGTCATCCGTGTTGTTTGTACGCCGGCGGCATGGCTACGACGGCAGGGGTCTATCACAGTTGGACCGAGTCTTTTTTGGGTCTGATGAGCGAACATGTTTTCTTCGATCTGACCGAGCCCCCCCCCCCCCCCAACCCCCCC